TAAAGTTGCACACAGGAAATAGGCATATTTTAACCCGTACTGACAAGAATCTGATTGCAATCAATTTTATAAATATAATGTAGAAAATGCCTAAAAATCATTGGAATTGTTTAAAATTAATTCGAACCCAATTTTTCTCAATTTCTTTTAGTTTCCTTTTCAAACCGACTTGAGTTCACGCTTACCAATTTTGAGATTTTGTTGCATTCAATTTATACACAGATTATAATAAGATTTTCTCGACTATCAAACGATAGAGAAAATGGAAATTAAAGTATAACGTAAAATATTCAATTGATTTTTTGTGGTTTATTGCTCTGAAACGAAAAATATCTAATCTGTTTTTTTTTAAATTGAATCGTTTTTGTTCCGACCAAAAAAAATTGAGGGAAACTTTGTATTTGGGTGTTTTAGTTTTTTTTGTTTGTTTTCCGCGCGAAATCAGGTATCGCAAAAAATCATTGGACTGCATTGAGTGATATATCATATTAAAGCCCGGAGTTGTAAACGTTTCAACAGTTTTGAGAAAAATCGGTTGAAAATTTTTAATTTTTCGCCTGATTTCGAGCGAATAAAGCAAAGTTTATTTAAATTGAATATTTGCTTGAAAGCTTAAAATAGTTTTATTTAAAATGTAAAATCTAAGTTTAAATTAGATTTTACATTTTAAAGTCTCTCTGGAGAATCTCTGACGAGAAGCAACTATCTACTAATTCTGCTACAGTTGTTCTCTTACTTCGAGAACCAACTACTCAATTCGCTAGCAATAATTCTTCTCTTCTCTTACTGAGAACCAACTAAGGCTATATCCCTCCCCCTGTCACTTCTGCCAGGTGCTAACTTCGGTTTCATTTATCAATCTTTTCACGCTTATTAGTTACCCGGTATGCGGTAGCTGTCACAATTTGACCAAGAAAACAAATGTCATACAATTCTAATCAACTAATTCCTGATCTCAGTGACTTCAGCCCTCGAGTTCAACTAACCTCTAAACCATGCTATGTTTTCCCAATGATCCTCCCAATGTGTTTACTTTAATTATCCCGTTAATGTTCCGACCTCCTAAGGGTAGAGCGAGACCCTTTTCATGGGTAGCTAATTCGTTTCAGGCATCTAAAATTTCTATCTGTTTTCTATTCTAATCCCGACCTTCTAGCTAACAGGGTAAGATATTTCGTCTATTAGGGGTCAAATCAAATCAAAAAACTCTTCTTCGAGAAGCCAAGTAAAATCCCCGTCCGTTCATACGATTTTGGAGACATAATTCTCATGCTACGGTTCTATTACTATCAATTTCCTCTGAGACTTCTTTAATTTAGTCTAGTTGAAGTGCTATTAATAGATCACTCGCCAAGCTAAACTAAGTCTAATGTTTACCAAGTTCACTTTGAATTAAATCCACTACTCCAGGGTTGCAATGTAAAAGATATATCCCTATCAGCTTCTGCTCTAGTTCCTGATATATAAGTTTTCCGCCAATTTTTGCCAGGTGACCCATTATCATTTCCAGGGGTTGGGCTAGGGAATACGCCACTTTCCTGTGGTAGTCTTGGGATTTCTATGCAATTTTGGGTCAAAAAGCCCAAAGGTCAACTTAAGGTCACCCAGGGGTCAACCGAGGTCAAACTTCTATATTTGGGTTCAGAATCCCACGCGGTTCCTAACTACCAAGTTTGATTCATATCCCATTAATACTTCACAAGTTATACCATTTCTAAGGTCCATTATCACATTTTCCGGGAAAAGGCTATTAACACAGGAAGGAGTCGCCGGAGGGTTTTCAGTCACAAAGGGTCTTTTTTCGGGGTTCATATTTTACATCGATTGCCGCAATAAAATCATTATGCCACACTTCATCATTTCGCGTAAATTGCCTATTTCCGGTCTAAGGGGGTGTTTTTCCAAGTGCTAATAGCTTCCGGCCCAATCGCCGGATTCGGTTCAACTTATATTACAAGATGTGTCTTGCCACTACCTATCACCCCTCCAAGTTTCAGCTCCCTGCATTCATTGCAGGCCGAGAAACTACTTTCAGGGTGGGTTTGGTTACTTTGGACATAAAACCGGAAGTAAGGGTCATAGGGGTCTGGGGTTCCAAACTTAAGCTTCCCTGACTTAGGCCTACAACATACTAGAATTTGAGCCCATTCCAACCGCTAGTTACCGAGTTCTGATGGGGTGATTCGCACTTCCGGTAAACGTTATCACTTGGGGCCGGGGGGTCCGAAGGGGCTGAATTTTTGCATGCGCGGGTCAAATCATCTCTAGTAACCGCTCTATGAGTTTTGTAAAACTAGCCCCAGCAGCTTCCATTTGAGGTGGTTTGCAAATCGGTACCGTTTTAAATCCTGATTAGTCTTTGTTTGTTTTGGTCGACTTTGCAACTTGACAATTTTTTTTACTTCACTACTTATCGTATTGATTCGTTAATGCCGAGCTTCTTGCTACTCATTAACCTTCACTACACTGCATGCATTTCTCAAGGTAAAACTCTCAGCCAAAGTCTGAGTTTGGCAAAAATGTGTTAGGATCACCAATCCTACAGTCTTCGCTTCTAGTCTTTTGTTGTCCCCAATAATGCTAATGACAAAAATCACGTTTTTTTTTCTTGTAGCAACATTAACCATATCCAACACCTTAACCCAAAACTGACTCAACATTATGTTGCTAACTGCTCTACTAAATCTAATATAATTTAACCTTAACAACAAGGTGAAGGCCCCAGTTTTTGTTCCCGTTTACCAGTCTGCAAAATAATTATCACGCTGATGCCTAACCTTATAATACAGTTTCAGTGTTACAGTTCCTAAAACCTAATCGCAGACCAGCAACCAATTCCCCCAAGACTAAAAAAACTTCAACTAGTAAGCACCATTTGTTAAAAGAATCCTAATCAGGGGATTTGACTTTTATTAAGCTTACCCATCGTAGTACGACCCAACCTCTCTTTAACTGAGCGGAGATAAGGCTAAACAGTGCAAAAAAATGAGGTGAAGTCGCACTTAGGTAAAATCTAGCACTAATGATTTGGTTGACAAACTTTCCGAAAAACTAGTTATAACTCACAAATTCATCGATTCCAAACCAAACTGGAGCCCTTCTTACACTAACTGGTCTGCATTCATCTGTAGTCCCCCATTCCATCACAGGTTCCACCATCGCTGGCTCACCCGGAGGTCTACCTTCAGCTTCGCTCGGGAGATTCGCTGTCTCTTTTTCCCTTCTGGCTTCAATCTCCGTTGCGTCGTTTGTCTCCACCGCGTCGCTCTACCTTCGCAAAACTCCGTTTAGGCGAGGATGATTAACTAGTGGCTCCACCACTTCTCGATTTCTTTTCGACATCAACCCCACGAGTTCTTGCCTTGGGCCTGGATCATGATTGAATCCCTCCCTATTGTTTGCCCAAAACACCTCGTGTTCAACGTGCAACTCCGGATCATCAAAAAAATTAGCTGACCGGTAGGGTGTCGGTCGCTTCCTTGCAAAGGTTTCCTCTGGTTGCACTGTCTCCTCAACATAACGTTTCAAACTTGTCAAAATGCAGAAACTTCGCCTTAATCGGATTGTACACCTTTGACAACTTGTACCTGACTTCGGACATCCTGGCCATTACAACGTGTGGTCCTCCCCATGGATCGAAAGTCTTCTTCAATTTAACTTCTTCTTTGGCCCACACCCAAACCTTGTCACCAATCGCATAGGGTTTCTCGTGAATTTTCTTCCACTAATAGCTTTTTGTCGACGCTGTTCTGTCCCGATTATTTCTCCTGCGCTGCTGTGTGCGTGTCGGAACTGTTCGTCTAGCCATACGGCAAAACCATCCTTCATCATCAGTTCGTCAGGAGGTTTTGGGTACAACAAATCATTCGGATACTGGCACTCCTCTCCATGCACCATACTGAACAGCGAGCTCCCGTTATCCGATTAATCGTCGTGTTGTAAACAAAATTTGAGTACGGCAACGTCGTATCCCACGTCCTTGGGTTCTCGGCACAATATTTTAAAATAACATTGGCTATTTTTGTATTGCGCCTTCCCGTCCGGCCATTCGCTTGCGATTTGCAAGGGCAAGTCTTGGTCTTATCAATACCCAAAAGTCGGCACATATCAAGTATCATTTTGCCACCAAAATTTTTTCCTTTATTTGTATGTACCACATTGGGAGCTCCAAACTTCAGCACCCAATTCTGTACTATCTCATAAGCCACATCGGCAGAATCCGTTGACACCAGAAGAACTGCAATCGTGTACATCGTGAAAGGTCCGTCAGAACAAGCACTTGTTTTACTCTGCTACTCGTTGCAATAGTCACTGGTCCCAAAATATCTACTGCCACCTCGCTGAATCTGATCCCAGGATCAAAGGGAGCTAGGCCCTCTGCCCTCTTGGTCTTCATTTCTTTCATATGAACTGATCGACGACTTAGACACCACTGGACTTTTCTTTCAATATCCGTTCTCATCGATGGCCACCAGAATCGTTGTCGTAACCTTGCTAGAGTCTTCTCGGCCGCGGAATGACCCCCGCTGGTCTGAGACGAATGTAACTGACTAAGGATCTCTTTGCGTCCTACAATCAACTCGAGCTATCGACTCATCCTCTTTTTGAAGAGAAGAAATCTCAAGGGGTGTTCGTTCCCACGAAATTGCCTCATTGTCGGCTTGTACCTCGCCGTCGCTGAGCATAGCTACAATATCTGACTGAGCCCGGCCAAACCTTCTCAAGGCCTCTTCGAGTGAAATAGCCTGTGGACAGGGACCAAATGCCTCCTCTTTTTCGCCAGGTAGCCAATCCGGTCCCTCTTCTAGCATTCTCGAGAGACCATCCGCATTTCCATGCTTGGCTCCCGCTCGGTGGACAACTTTGAAATCAAATTCATTTCATTCGGCTCTTTTTGCTTGAAGAGCCACTGCAAGCTGGAGTGATCCGTCCGGAAAACGAATTTTACACTCCAAATATAGGGCTTAAACCACTTGACTGCTTGGACTACTGCCAGAGCTTCACGCTTTTTCGTTGAATAATTGGTCTCGGTTTTTGAGAGAACGCGGCTGGCGTAGACTAGGGGGTCGTTCTTCCCCCTGGATAATATTAGAAAGTACTGCCCCAAGACTGAAGTTACTCGCGTCGGTATCTACTATGAACTTGCCATTGTAGTCGGGAAACTCCAATACGGGGGCTGTGATAAGCTCTCTCTTGAGACGTTCAAAGGCTGCCTGGCATTCGTCTGTCCACACAAATGGCACCTTTTTCTTCGTCAGTGAGGGCAAGGGACTTGCTATACCGGCAAAGTCTCTCACAAACCGGCGGTAGTGATTGCAGAAGCCTAGGAAAGATCTCACTGTTGATGGCACGGGCCAGTTGGTGACTGCCTCTACCTTTTTGGGATCGACTTGGATCCCCTCGCTTCCAATAATGTTGCTCAAATATGTGACCTGCATTTCTTCGGTTTTAGTTTCAAGTTGGCTGCTCTCAAGAGTTAAAAGGTTGCCCGGAGGTGAGCAAAGTGACTCTCGTCCGACTGGCTGTAAACGAGAACGATATCCAGGAACACCAGAGCCCACTTCCACAAGTGCTCCCGAAACAATTCGCTTACCAGCAAAGTCTCTGGAGCGTTGGACAATCCAAAGGGCATCATTACATAATCGTAGAATCCTCCATCCGAGGTGACGAATGCAGTTTTGTGTCAATCCTCTTCCGCTACGGGTACCTACCAATAACCACTGGCCAAATCTAGGGACCAAAAGTGTTTCTGCTCTTTTAAAGCGTCGAAGTTCTGTTGTATCCGGGGGATGGGAAACGCATCTTTGTTCCTCACATCGTTCAACTTCCTATAGTCCACACAAAACCGCCAGCTCCCGTCTTTCTTCTTCTGTAGGACAATTGGCGCACTGTAGGGACTTTTGGACGGCTGAAATACTCTTCTATCCAACATGCTCTGCATCTCCTCTCGGATAAATGGCATCTTCGCCGGAGAAGCTCGATGAGGGGGAACTTTGATGGGGCCCAAATCCCCTGTGTCAACCCGATGGGTCACTAAATTCGTCTGCCCCAGCTCTGCAACGGTGAGGGCGAACACGTCCCTGTGCGATCGGATGAGTTCCCGTAGTCTATCTCTCTCAGCCCCCGTCACACCAGGCGCAGCCAACTCCAAAGTCTTCTGAGCATCTTCTTCCAAGTGGCGTTCCGTTTGTGCTTGGAGGTCAACCTCATCCCCGTTACTGATCACATGGTCAAAACGATCCTCTTCGTCGTCTGTCCAACCCTCCACCAAGTCTCCAGGGTCATAGGTAGGCTGCTGGGGTAGAGTTTCCGTGACGTCTGCTACTGGGTTTTGAGAGTCTGTGACTGCTGAGGGCCCGGGGACGTGGGCCGTAGTGGTTCGTAATGCAAGGGGACTATTGATCCTTCTTTTGGTCACGTACTTAAGTTGTAGCAGTGGAAGTCCAATGAACACTCGTACTCCTTGAGTGATCGCATACCAAGGATCACCCCTGCCTTTAACTCAGGAACCACTAATGCTTCGATACCATCGTCTATCGACCCGAGCTCCAGGTTAGTTGTATTCCAGCCGTCAACATTGACCGCGCGTCCATTCGCTGTCTCCAGGGACCCCTTGCATGTGCGGAGGGCTGGTGCAGCTGTCAGTTTGCTGTAAACATCGCTCCGGATAAGGTTGATGGTAGCTCCAGTGTCGACTAACGCTCTCACTGGAGTTCCTGCGACACGAGCGTCTCCTTTTAATCCGAAAGATGCTTCGGGTACTTGATTACGCCAACGAACTCCATTGATCTCTCGTCTGGCACTGGGTACTGGACATCTGTTTAGAAACTGCGGCGGTGGGGGTTGGGGTTGATGAAAAAGTGACTGCACTTGCTTCGATACAGTCGTCTTGTCGTTGCGTTGCAGAATCCGAGGCGGCATCTGGGAATTCGGGGCTTGTTGGGTAGAGCCGCTGGAAGGGGGACTCCTACCGTTCGACTGTTGTTTTTTTTAGATCGCCGGGACAAAACCTCTTTGGTATCCGCTCACTGTCCCGGCCCTTGGTAGTTTAAACCGTCCGCGGTCTTCTTGGGGCATTCCTTCGCGAAGTGTCCTGGCGTCTTGTTGATTAGCTCCAGGGCTTGGGCCCGAGCAACCGGCTGAGCGAGGCTTTCCAAACCTTCCCACAAGAGCTGGTCTTGGAGCTCCTCATCAAACAGCCCGTTGATGAACTGCTCACGGTTCATGTCATCTCTAGCCTGGGCTCCGATGTTCGCTTTAGCTACATCTCCAAGGGACCGGACCCGTCTGGAGAACACCCTAAGACCCTCTTTTTCACCTTGCATCAAACTCTTAAACTCCATTCGGGGGCATGCGTGCGTCTGAAACGGCATCATCCTGTGATCGAGCTCGGCGAGCATCCTATCCAACGTTGGCTCGTCGAAGCCCTCAATCTTCTCTCGAAAGTGGGCAGGCATGCTTGTAAATTCCTCTAAAGTTCAGCTCGTCAAACAGGTTGGCAGGACCATCCTGGCCTGCTCGTCCTCTCAGCGGTTGGCGTCTGCGACCCAAGCGATTAGCTTTCTCCATTCTGCCCAGTTCTGAGAGGCACTGGAAGGAAAACGATCCGGCTGTATTGTCCCGAATCCAAATACGCCTTGTTGTCTGTCCACCGCGTTCGCTGCTGCAACTGCCGATTCAGCGATCAACCGCCTCTCCTGTTCTTCCATATCGCATTATGCCCAAGTCCTCAGTTGCCAACACACTTTGCAGCTGCAATCCAGAATTAGCCCAACCAGGAGTGCCAATGTAGAATTAAGGGATTTCTTCGCAAGCTGTCCATTTGGCTGTGAATTTAGCGGGGCGACCGAGATTCACTCTTTTCTACAATCCCGAAAGGGTTGATTTGGTGGCAAAAATCCTGTATTGCTCTCTGTTGCATGCCCCTTTTGTGTATTGCTCTTCCGGCTGTCTTGTCTACTCGATACAATCGCAAGAGTTTATAATTGTGTAATACTTACCAGTTTTGAGATTTTGTTGCATTCAATTTTTGCACAGATTAAAATAAGATTTTCTCGATTATCAAACGATAGAGAAAATGGAAATTAAAGTATAACATAAAATATTCAATTGATTTTTTGTGGTTTATTGCTCTGAAACGAAAAATATCTAATCTGTTTTTTTTAATTGAATCGTTTTTGTTCCGACCAAAAAAATTGAGGGGAACTTTGTATTTGGGTGTTTTAGTTTTTTTTTGTTTGTTTTTCACGCGAAATCAGGTATCACAAAAATCATTGAACGGCATTGAGTGATATATCATATTAAAGCCCGGAGTTTTAAACGTTTCAGCAGTTTTGAGAAAAATCAGTTTCAGAATTTTTAACTTTTCGCCTGATTTCGAGCGAATAAAGCAAAGTTTGTTTAAATTGAATATTTGCTTGAAAGCTTAAACTAGTTTTTTTAAAACGTAAAACTCTAAGTTTAAATTGGTTAGCGTCGGTTTACTTTGAGTATTTCAGCGCTTTTTTGATGCACGCTCAGTTTCGATTTTTCTTTGTTTGTGTAAAATTAGGGGATTCCTTCGCAAGCTGTCCCTTTGGCAGTGAATTCAGCGGGGCGACCGAGATTCAATACTTTCTACAATCCCGAAAGGGTTGATTTGGTGGCAAAAATCCTGTATTGCTCTCTGTTGCTTGCCCCTTTTGTGTATTGCTCTTCCGGCTGTCTTGTCTACTCGATACAATTGCAAGTGTTTCTAATTGTAATTTAATTCAGATGATTATACGTCTGATTACAGAGGGCTCTGAGTGGCCAGGTTATAATCTAATAATCAAATCAAAAGGTAGGGGTCTGCGATTTATCAGCATAAATTGCCTTATTGCAATTAACTTCCACCTAACTCCACAAACACTGAACTATTCTGTCTCTAGAGAATCTCTGACGAGAAGCAACTATCTACTAATTCTGCTACAGTTGTTCTCTCACTTCGAGAACCAACTACTCGATTCGCTAGCATTAATTCTTCTCTTCTCTTAATGAGAACCAACTACTCTTAATAGTAGCCAACAACTGTTCTGACTGTTAAAGGCTCTCCGGAACCCTCCAACTACTTATCTTTATTTACACTTAGATTTAGTTAAGTCACGCCATTCCCTATCGGACCTGACATCCGCTTAAATCACCCGTCCACACATTTTTTAAGGCTATGTCCCTCCCCCTGTCACTTCTGCCACGTGCGAACTTCGGTTTCATTTATCAATCTTTTCACGCTTGTTAGTTACCCGGTATGCGGTAGCTGTCACAATTTGACCAATCAAACAAATTTCATACGATTCTAATCAATTAATTCCTGATCTCAGTGACTTCAGCCCTCGAGTTAAACTAACCTCTAAACCATGCTATGTTTACCCAATGATCCTCCCAAGGTCTTTAATTTAAATATCCCGTTAACGTTCCGACCTCCTAAGGGTAGAGGGAGACCCTTTTCATGGGTAGCTAATTCATTTCAGGAATCTAAAATTTCTATCTGTTTTCTATTCCAATCCCGACCTTCTAGCTAACAGGGTAAGATATTTTGTCTATTAGGGGTCAAATCAAACCAAAAACTCTTCTCCGGGCAGCCAAGTAAAATCCCCGTCCGTTCATACGATTTAGGAGACCTAATTCTTATGCTACGGTTCTATTACGATCAATTTCCTCCGAGACTACTTTTTTTGTCTAGTTGAAGTGCTATTAATAGATCACTCGCCACGCTAAACTAAGTCTAATGTTTACTAAGATCACTTTGAATTAAATCCACTACTCCAAGGTTGCAATGTAAAAGCTATATCCCTATCAGCTTCTGCTCTAGTTCCCGATATATAAGTTTTTCCCCAATTTTTGCAAGGTGACCCATTCTCATTTCCAGGGGTTGGGCTGGGGAATACGCCACATTCCTGTGGTAATCTGGGGGCTTTCCATATCATTTTGGGGTCAAAAAGACCAAAGGTCAACTTAAATTCACCCAGGGGTCAACCCGGGTCAAACTTCCATATTTGGGTTCAGAATCCCATGCGGGTCCTAACTACCAAGTTTCATTCATATCCTATTCATACTTCACAAGTTATACCATTTCTAAGGTCCATTATCACATGTTCCTGGAAAAGGCTATTAACACCGGAAGGAGTTGCCGGAGGGTTTTCACTCACAAGGGGTCTTTTTTCGGGTTCATTTTTTATGCCGATTGCCGCAATAAAATCATTATGCCAGATTTCATCATTTCGCGTAAATTGCCTATTTCCAGCCTTAGGGGGTGTTTTTCCAAGTGCTAATAGCTTCCGGCCCAATCGCCGGATTTGGTTCAAGTTATAATACAAGATGTATCTTGCCACTAGCTATCACCCCCCCAAATTTCAGCTCCCTGCATTCATTAGAGGCCGAGAAACGACTTTCGGGGTGGGTTTGTTTACTTTGGGCGTAAAACCGGAAGTAATGGTCATAGGGGTCTGGGGTTCCAAACTCAAGCTTCCCTTAACTAGGCCTACAACATACTAGAATTTGAGCCCATTCCAACCCTAGTTACCGAGTTCTGATAGGGCGATTCGCACTTCCGGGAACCGTTATCACTTGGGGCCGGGGGGTCCGAAGGGCCTGAATTTTTGCATGCCCGGGTCAAATCATCTCTAGTAACCGTCCTATGAGTTTCGTAAAGCTAGCCCCAGTAGCTTCCATTTGGGGGGGGGGGTTGCAAATCGGTACCGTTTTAAATCCTGATCAGTCTTTGTTTGTTTTGGTCGACTTTGCAACTTGACCATTATTTTACTTCACTACTTATCGTATTGATTCGTTAAAACCGAGCTACTTGCTACTCATTAACCTTCACTACACTGCATGCATTTCTCATGGTAAAACTCTCAGCCAAAGTCTGAGTTTGGAAAAAATGTGTTAGGATCACCAATCCTACAGTTTGACAATTGGTTTTGTTTTAACGTCACTTCATTTGCCTTGTTGAAAGGAAGCGAAACTCCACTATTGGGCAGCAAAATAAAAACTTTAGCTATTGACCAGTTTTCTCAAATTGAGTTAACTTTATCAAAAAGATTCAAACATAAATTGAAGAGCTTTAAGGGCATATATGTATTTTTTCAAATATGCATTTGAAGTTTTTTTCAAAAAATAAGTCAGCTTTTTTCTGTTTCTTCGCGTTCATTACTTTTTTCCAACTGTCAGTTGGGTATGTTTTTTCTACCTAATTTCCATCTAAATTCATTTAAACCGATTTACGTTGCTAAATGGATTGCCGTAAATTATTTTTATTTTACATATTTTTTGTATAAAAGTTTATATAAATCGATTTCAATCACAAGTTTGTCAATGCGGGATGACAATGATAAAACAAGCTTAAAGAAATAAAATTGTGTGAGAAATCTTACATTATTTTATAAAACCTGCACTCGTTTTGAATCAGTTCAGTAAACATATTTTATGATACATGCAGACTGAAAACAGAGGCGTGAGAGAAACTGCAGAAAACCCATGGATTGAAATAAAACTTTTGTTTCAGGAGTCCAGGCCAAAATTTTGTGGGAAAAACAGAGTCTACAGAACGAGGAGGCTTATCAGTTGTACAGGACACTTGAGTCAGAAGCCTCTTACAGGTTAGTTTTCCAACAATATTCAGTTTGGATGCCCATATAAATAACTTTGGTGCTGATTGTTACGACCGCATTAAATTTGTCTCAGTTGGTTCTAGAAAATGAATATACGCATACAAAAAAGTAGAGGAATTCTTTCCGGGCAAAAATATAAACTGCCTCATCAAAGGATACCGTTAGTGCCTAGCAAAAACTTAAATGGAACATAATCGCATTGATTCAGTTCTACTTAAAAAGTATTATGACTAACCGCAATAGTGCACCCAACTTGATTGACTAAAATATGTGCGATGTTTTTAAATTGTCTAT